TGTATATATACATGAGTAGTTTGTACATTGTAAAGTAGAATACATATTGTAAAAGACATGAAGATGAAACTCTCTCAATAACATTCTTCTTCTTCTTCTTCTTCTTCTTCTTCTTCTTCTTCAATCTTCCACTATCAATTGTCCTGCATCAACAAATTGATATGGTATCAGAGCCGGAGTACAATATCTGAGAAACTCTAGCTCATTTTGATCTCTGGATCTGTAGATCGGGAGAGGTAGTAATGGCAAGCAAAATCGATCATACACATCCTCTGTATTTGTCTTCTTCTGATGTCACAGGTGCAGTTCAAATTGGGATTCAACTTGTAGGGATGGAGAATTATACTTTGTGGAGCAGGGCAATGGAGTTAACATTGCTAACAAAGAATAAATTTGGATTTATTGATGGCAGCATCAAACGTGAAGATTACACAGTCGATTCTGAGAAGAAATAGTCGAATCGATGTAATGCAATGGTGCTTTCATGGCTTATGAACAATGTGAGCAAGGAATTGATGAGTGGAATCCTATTTCGTTCTAATGCATCACTGGTTTGGAGTGATCTGAAGGAACGATTTGACAAAGTGAATATGTCTAGGATATTTCACTTACACAAGTCGATTGTTACACATACTCAAGGTACTTATCCAGTCTCAGTATACTATTCCAAGTTGAAAGATCTGTGGGATGAATTTGATTCAATTGTTCCTCCTCCATCTTGTAATTGTGAAAGATCTAAAGAATATGTTGATAGCATGCATAGACAGAAGCTTCTGTAGTTTTTGATGGGCTTGAATGACAATTATAGTCATACTCGAAGCCAAATTCTCATGATGAATACACCTCCAACTGTTAATCAATGTTATGCTATGATAATTCAAGATGAAAGTCAAAGAGAGTTAAGTGGAGATCACTATAATTTAGGAGGGCAAATGGATCCTACAGCTTTGTTCACTAGTAGATCCGGAGGGAAAAATTTTAGTGGTCAGAGTAATCGAAGTGGTAATGTGAAGTTTAACAAACAGAGAAGTGGATATTTGTATTGTGATCATTGTGATATGAAAGGCCACAATAGAGCTGATTGTAACAAGCTGAAGTACTGTATTCACTGTCACAAACATGGACATCTAAAGGAATCTTGCTATCAGTTAATAGGCTATCCTACCAATTATAAGGGGAAGAGACAAGAAAATATTATGACAACAGACTACAATCCTCAATTTAACAATCCAGGTAACTCAACTAATGGTAATGTTGTAGATCAGATGCAGCAGTTTAAGAGTGGTGGTGCACATAAGATGTCACAACAATATGAAAGTAATCCAAGTTCAAGTGGTTCAGGAGCTGTTTTATCTCAACATTTTACACCTGATCAATACCAACAAGTTTTACAGATGATGAACAAGTCATTGATTCATGAGGGAATACAGTATCTACCAATAGTAGTGCCAATACAACAGGTATATTTGCAGGACATTCTCAGTTTACTCCTTCAACTTCTAGTTTTGATTGAATTGTTGATAGTGGAGCAACTGATCATATGGTGACAACTAAGGACTTGCTAACTCATGGATCAACAGTAAAGAGTTCAGGAAATGTTCAGCTTCCAAATGGTGATTCAACTAAAGTCACACATTCAGGCTGCTCTCAACTACAAGGAGGTGAAGTAGTTAAGAATGTTTTATATGTGCCAGAACTTAACTTCAATCTTCTTTTAGTGGCTAAACTTACTAGGCAATTGAATTGTTGTGCAATTTTCTATCCTGATTTCTTTCTCCTTCAGGATCTCTTCACTGGGAAAGTGAAGGAGATTGGTGAAGAAAAAGGTGGTCTATACATCTTAAAGTCATCACAACTGATAGACACTGGACAACATAGAAGTTTTGTTGCAGTGAAGAATTCTGCTGAAGGTGAAGTTTGGCATAAGAGGCTAGGTCACATTCCTATGAGTGTTCTCAGGAAGATAGACATATTTGCTCATAAAAGGGATTTTCAGTTGAAATGTTGCAATATTTGTCCATTAGCTAGACAAGTCAGACTATCATTTCCTAATAGCAGTACTAGAAGTACACAATGTTTTGGTTTAGTTCACATGGATGTATGGGGACCTTACAAGATTACAACTCATAATAAAATGAAGTTCTTTCTTACTTTGGTTGATGATCACTCTAGATGGAATGGATATATCTCATGCATCTCAAGTCTTATGTCTCTACCATATTGAAATAGTTCCTTGCTATGGTTAAGACTCAATTCAATGTTCAAGTTAAAATCTTTAGATCAGATAATGGTGGAGAGTTTTTTAATGCTCAAGTGAGTGAAGTGTTTGAATCTCAAGGAATTATACATCAGAGTTCTTGTCCATATACACCTCAACAAAATGGTGTAGTGGAAAGAAAACATAGACACATAATGGAGACAGCAAGAGCTATTAGATTTCAAGGCAATATTCCAATCAGGTTTTGGGGAGAATGTGCTTTAGCTGCTGTTCATATCATCAATAGAATTCCATCCACTGTGCTACTTAATAAGTCTACTTTTGAAATGATGTTTGGTAAACCTCCAGATTTGTCTTACATGAAGATCATTGGATGTTTGTGTTATGCAACTACATTGTTCAGATCTGATAAATTTGGTCCTGGAGCCATCAAATCAGTACTTATGGGTTATGGTACTAAACAGAAGGGATACAAACTCTATGATCTACAAAATAGAGTCTTCTTTGTCAGTAGAGATGTGGTTTTTAATGAATCTATCTTTCCTTTTCAAACTCAGTGTTTTGATGACATACAAGACAGTGTATCATCCATTGAATCTTCAGATTTGCCAGTCAGATTTGATGATCTTGAGGATCATCATTAACAGGATCAACCAACCAAAGATGATCCCATTGATAATGTTGACAATGGATTTGCCAATGATCTTGAGGATCATCATCAGCAGGATCAACCAACTATGGATGATTCACTTTTGAGCTCCAACAGACGACAATCAACTAGAACTTCTAGGCATCCTCTTTGGCAAAAGGATTTTGTTACCACATTCAAGTCTAGATCAAGATCCAATTGTTTGTACTCTCTGGAAAATAACATTGATTACAGAAATTTGTCTCCCTCTTATCAATGTTGCATTGCTAATCTTTCAGTTGACACTGAGCCTAAGTTCTACCATCAAGTTGCCAAAGATAAGAGGTGGGTAGCAGCCATGAAAGAAGAGATACAGGCATTGGAAGAGAATAAGACCTGGGAGGTAGTAATTTTACCTATTGGCAAAAAGGCTATAGGTTGCAAATGGGTGTATAAGATTAAGTACAAGGCAAATGGTGAAGTTTAAAGATTCAAAGACCGACTTGTAGCCAAAGGATATAGCCAGCAAGAAGGTTTAGATTACCAGGAGACATTTTCTCCAGTTGTTAAAATGGTCACAGTTAGAACAGTGCTCACTTTAGCTGCATCTAAGGGATGGGATGTCCAACAGATGGATGTTTATAATGCATTCTTGCAAGGTGACTTGGTAGAAGAAGTCTATATGCAGATACCTCAAGGATTCTCTCATCTACATGCTGGGGATCAACCTGTGTGTAAGTTGCTTAAGTCATTGTATGGACTTAAGCAAGCTTCACGACAGTGGAATGTGAAATTGACTCAGGCACTATTAGTTGCTGGATTTCAGCAAAGCCATTTGGATTACTCTTTATTGATCAAGAAGTCTAATGAAGGTATTGTGATTGTTTTGGTTTATGTTGATGATTTGTTAGTCACTGGCAGTAACATCACACTAATCAATGACACCAAACAAGTCTTAAAGGATAACTTCAAGATCAAAGATCTAGGATCATTGAGATATTTCCTAGGGATAGAGTTTGCCAGAAACAGGGAAGGAATTATCATGCATCAAAGAAAGTATGCATTGGAGATTATTTCAGACTTGGGTTTAGGTGGATCTAAACCTATTGCCACACCTGTTGAGATGAATGGAAAGCTCACTACTGCAGTTTTTGACAAGCATGTAGGAATTACATCTGATCCTGTATTATCAGATATTGGTGAGTATCAAAGATTGGTTGGGAGATTGATCTACTTAACCATTACTAGACCTGACTTGTCCTATGCTGTTCAAAACTTAAGCCAATTCATGAATGCTCCTAAGCAATCTCATATGAATGCTGCTATTAGAGTTGTCAGATACATTAAACAACAACCTGGCCTAGGTATTCTGTTATCTGCTCAGGATTCTGGTTCCTTACAGGCTTTTTGTGATGCTGATTGGGAATCATGCCCTGATACTAGGAGATCCATTACTGGATATATGGTTACATTTGGAGAATCTTTACTTTCTTGGAAGTCTAAGAAGCAATCTACAGTATCCAGGAGTTCTGCTGAAACAGAATATAGAAGCATGGCTTCTACTGTTGCTGAAGTTACATGGTTAATTGGTCTCTTTCGTGAATTAGACATGGCTATTGTCTTGCCTATTGTTGTACATAGTGACAACACTGCTGCTATTCAGATTGCTTCTAACCCTGTTTTCCATGAGAGGACCAAACATATTGACATTGATTGTCATTTTATTAGAGAAAAGGTTCAAAGAGGTTACATATCCATTCAACACTTGACTACTACTGAACAACCTGCTGATGTATTCACTAAAGGACTTGGTTGATTGCAACATGAATATTTGATTTCCAAGCTCGGAATGAAGGACATCTTCATATCTCCTAGCTTGAAGGGGGGTATTGAGGAATATGATAAAAGTATTGATAAGAGTTGAATTAATTAGTTAGTTAAAGTTCAATTAGTTAGTTAACTAGTTAGTTGTTAGTTGTTAATTGTTAAGCTTAGTTTGTTAGCCAGCTGTCCTTTTACGATTGGTGCATTAACATTGTTAGTTAGCTAATTGATTGTATATATACATGAGTAGTTTGTACATTGTAAAGTAGAATACATATTGTAAAAGACATAAAGATGAAACTCTCTCAATAACATTCTTCTTCTTCTTCTTCAATCTTCCACTATCAATTGTCCTGCATCAACAAATTGATAAGAGTGAGCTTATATCTTCACAATATCTTAGGAAACAGTTAAATATGATTAGTCAAAGTTATAATGTACAAACATAACAATTATTTAACTATATCATAAACACAAAAATTGTGAATCTAGAATCTGATACTGTTTTTGTCTTAATACCATACAACATGGTCATTTAGTTTGTTAGATAGAAAAAATTACACCTTTCTTATGTTGCATGATAATAACCAGTGCACTAGAACGGGAAAAAAGATCTATTTCAATTGTTCAAGTCAATAATTTTAATACATATATAAAAAAACAAAAAACAATAACTTATTTCGCGAGAAATCATCTTTTGATGAATGTAATAAAGAGAAGGTGCTGCAGTTGAATTGAGATCCCGCGAGAAATCATTTTCTATTTCTTTTCATTAATAGCGTATATTTGTAATTGAGATCCCGTTTGACTTAAAAAAAAGTAACTTTTAGAAAGTACTTTTGAAAGTGCTGAAACTTATTTTTGAAATAAGTAGTTATGTGTTTGGATAAAAGAGCTCCAGTTGAAAAATAAGTTATTGATGTGTTTGACAAATAAGTGTTGGTAAACATTTTTTTTGGCAAAATGTCTGAAATACCCTTAAAGTTGTTAACATGATAAAAAGTTGATTAATTTAAGGTTTTCATACTTAAAAAAAAAACAAAGTTAATTTATATTTTACATCCATAAATAATAATATTTCTTATCATTCACATATTTATTTATCACCACAAATTATTATTATTATTATTATTATTATTAATATTATTATTATTATTATATCCCCGAACTTTCAAAAATGGTATGTCAACACCCTTTGTCATACTTTCGGTTTATCAAAACCCTTACCGTCCAATAATCAATACATATTTACCCCTCCTACTAACAGAGCACTGATCGTGTACACATGTCGCAATCCTATGCCATAATCCGATTGACCAATTTTTTATCCCAATTTCAAAAACCCGCCCATAACCCAATACCCACAAATAAACTCTCTAAAATCCTAAAGAAAAATTAAAATTCTTATTGAATTTATCAAGACCCTGATAGTATCTTTATGAACATTAATATGATTTTAAATCTTCTTCACATTTTGATAATCCACCTACGGTACCGTCGGAAATGGGCGGTAGAGTTGGCGGCGGAGGTTGATACCCTCCCCACCCATTATTACTATGAGAATAATAATAAGAAGAATATTGATTTTGATAGATTACATATATAGGACCACAACTGGAGTGACTGAAATTAAAATGGGAATTCGAATTCGAAGGAGAAGGATAGTTGGTGAGGAAGGAGGAGTTAGTAAAGGCTAAGGGTTTCGGGAAGGGAAATGTGTTGTAGAAGATGCACGTAACTAATAGGTTGGGTGGGTAAGGCGGTAAAAATGATGATTTTGATGCCTTATACTCCATGAATTCTCATTTTTTCTTCATTTCATGAACCAGAGGAACATATGAATTTTGGAGAAATCAACAGAAGATTTAGAGAAGAATTATTAAAGAAAAGAATAATAAAAAATGTGGGACTCAGGTTGTTAATTAACAGAAAGTGAGTATTAGTATGTTAAGTTTCGAAAAATTAATTTTTAAAATTAAGTTTTACAGTAACAATTCATTAATTAATAAGAGTATTATAATAAAATTCTTATTATAATTATATTTTGAAAAATACGTGTAAAGTTTAACATAATGAATAAACTTTAGGATTTTTCTTCAGGAATTTAAAGAGTTTTTTTTGTGGGTAAATCAGGTGGATACTTGGGTTATGGGCGAGTTTTAGAAATTTGGGTAAAAAATTGATCAATCGGGTTGTAGCATAGGATTCTGACACGTGTACACGATCAATGCTTCGTTAGAGGGAGGGGTAAATATGTACTGATTATTGGACGGCAAGGGTTTTGATGAACCGTAACTATGACGAAGGTATTGACTTACCATTTTTGAAAGTTCGGGGGTATATTTGTCCCTTTTCCTTGATAATAATAATAAAAGAATTAAGAGCAAAACATGTACTTGGTCAACATAAAATGACTTTTAAGCTGGAAAAAAAAAAGCATCCTTCACCTACCTTTTAGCTTTTGACTTAAAATAAGTCATTTTTTTACTTAAAATAAGTTACTTTGATAATTATCAAACATAACAATTAGTCAAAAATTGACTGTTAAGCCAATTTGACCAGCTTTTAAGCCCATCCAAATAGGCTTTGAGTCTATCAAGTTGAATTAACCCATGAATTTTTGTAATTAAAATTAAATCATTCTACATATGCAAATAGATTTGTGTATTTCATGAATTCTTGGTCAATAAACCTGTCAACATCGATACAAAAGAAGAAATAAACAAATTATTATTTAACAATGATCAAAATTACAATAATTACTTGTGATATAAACTTCATCATTGTATAGTTCGTTGCGTCAATAAGATATGACAATCAAATAATGCATGACTTGAAATATAGCAAAAATAGTTATATTACACATATTTTAAAAGACTCACTAGTCTTTTTCACAATCTGCCACGAAATGCTGACAAAAATAACGGATGTCACTAGATTGAATTACCACCATATTCATTTTTCTTCTCTATCACTATTACAAATATTATGAAAATTACCTTTTCACAAACACAAATTAAAATGTTACACATTGGCCACTAACATTACCAATGAATCCCCATATCATACTTCTTTTTTACCAGAATTAGAAAATATTATGAAATAAAAAAAAAGGTTCAATTTATTTTATTAAAAAATTTAATTTTCTTTATCACCCCAACCAGCCCACAACCCCTGTAATCCCACTCACTCCTCTTTTACTAATCCTTAATGGCGCTTCCACTATCTTTAAAAAATGTAGAAAAAAATAATTATAATTTTTTAAAAGTAACTTTTTACCACTCACTCCTCTTTTCAGTCCCTTGGGAATTTCTATTATCTATTTAACTATCCACTTTAAAATGAGTAATATGAGTTGGACATTTTATTTATTTAAAATGAATAAGTTTGAATAGTTATCCATTCTTAAGTAGGTTGTATCAATTGTTTGATTTAATTACGATACTTTCCCACTATTTAAATCAAGATATTTCTCATGCTAGCGGATATTTAGTTGATTTAAATGATTGAGGGTCCGATTGGGCCGCTCTAGTATCTAAAGTATTTTTTGTAACTAACTTGTACGATTTATTATAGCACCCCAACTTGGATGATTTCACTGCGTAAGTTTCATATAATAAATCTAGTGAATTTTTCTAGATAAACTTACCTCTTCTAATACAAATAAATCTATTTATTAGTTTGTCCAAATAATCAAAGGATCTTACTCATGTAGTGTGAAATTCACATAATTTTAGAAGTATTAAAAAAAATAAAAAAGAGTGAGTACAAGGTATAAGGTGCAAACATAACAATTTTTTAACCTATTTGAACAAAAATATTGTGAATCTAAAATCTAATATTCTTGTTGTCTCAATGTCATACATTATGGTTATTTCAGTTTGTAAGATAGAAATAATTAAATCTTTGTTGCATTGCATGACAACAATTAGTGCAACAAAATCTGTTAAAAGAATGACAAAAGTCCCACATCGGTGATTAATGAGATGGGTGAACTCTTTATAAGGCTTGGACAATCCTTCTCCCTTTGAGCTAGCTTTTGGGATGTGAGTTAGGCCTAAGACCTAATTTCACATGGTATCAGAGCAGGGCCCGTCTCACCCGATGTTGGGGTCCCCAAAATTAAAAATTGCCCACGCACTAGATGCTAAGCACTGGGCGTGAGGTGGAGTGTTAAAAGAATGACAGATGGGTGGAATCTTTATAAGGCTTGGACAATCCTCCTCCCTTTGAGCTATATTAATCAGAACGACACCCTTTCTCATGACAGATATAAAATCGTTGTTCACGATGCCAATAGTTTCATTGTTCATAGCTAAGCAACATACAACAATATCAGCTTTGCTTGCAAACTTCAAGATATCAGCATGGTTTCCCCTCTCGTCAACTAGGTCAGCGTAGCCACCATTCTCAACAGACGGTGCCTCGGATTTGCTCGAGTCCTGTGCAGGCCGGCCCCAACTTCGTTTTGTAGCAAGTATTTTCACGTCAAATGGGCGTAGACGCTTTGCTAAATGTATCCCGATATTTCCAAACCCCAGGATAAATACCGTTTTCCCATGCAGGTTGACACCAGTTGGCTCCCCTAGCTTTTTCTGCTCCACGGAAATTTTCATTTGATGTTGCTTACGCAGGAGGCCCAAGATGAGATATATGGCCATTTCAGCATATGAAGCAGCATTTCCAGTTGCACCACCCGAAATTTTGGCGACCTTAATGCAATGATTTGTGGCAGCAGTAATGTCAACACCTTCTAACCCAACTCCAAATTGCATTATGAGCTTCATCCTCTTTGCACGGGAGTGAACATCAGAGTTCATACGGAAGCTTTTAACCACACAAATTGTTAGAAAATAGCATATACAGCGGAAGCATTCCAGAATCATACATCTTGCATGAATATAAATAACAATCACAAATAGTTATCACATACAAAGTATGCTGAAAATTAACTCAAGATTATCTCTTGAAGCGTGTGCAGATATCTTGAAGTAAATCCAACTCCAGTTCTATAGTCTTCTACAGTGATCCCAATCAACAATTGAACTCTCTCAATACTTGGGTGGGCAAGTATTGTATAGAATACTCTGTTTTGAATCTAGGTTAGAAAAATCCTTATTTATAGAGATGTCTTCCTAGTCCAAAGAGGAGAAGAAAAGCCAATTCTTTTTCTTCAAGAAGAACTTCAAACACACGTTTTCCTTCAAAGAAAAAGAACGCTACTTTTCCATCTTCTACTAGAATAGGATTCTGAGTTCTAGTTAAATTGAGCACTGGAGGGACCACAACATTTATTTCTGAGGCTTCCTATTATGGAAATAATTCTAAATAATTAATTTGAATTATTCTTACCATAATAAATTACAAATCATTCCACTAAAAATTCGTAATTGAACTCCTCTATTATTTCGAAATTCACCACTAAACACTTATTTGATTCCCCATGTTAAGATTACCGATACTAATCAATAAATTATATTACTGACGAATTTAATTCAATGATTAACTTCTTTTAGAGCAATACTTAAATTATTTCATGTGCCAGATTCATAAATCTACCGGCCGAGTTTACACATGAAAACTTACAAGCTTCTCATAAAAGGTGTATCATCAATCTCTATACTGAGACATGAATTCCATCAACTAACTAATTATTTCACCAATATATATTATTATCATCCAATCTACCAGGCATATTGACCCATCTCAGAATCTTACCTTTTAATAAACCAAAATGATAATTAATATATACAGAGCATAATCGTTATATCAAGATTAAGAATATAAGTACATTTAATAGTTTAGAGAATATGTTTGAGAATATGTTTTTATCAGTCAGTCTAAAACAACTATCTCTGCTTGGTCGCGTTCAATACATACCAAATGCACTAGCACGAGAAGTTAGAACTATGCCATTCTCATAATCAAGATAAATTACATTTAATCTCGTGCTACAATCTTTCTGATGATTTTGTCCAAATTTCCATCTATGAATGTGAACTATAAATTTTAACTTATAAGAACTAATGATTTAATCTTCTGTGTATAAGCTTAAACTCTATACACCAAATCATCTACTATATAAGTTAAGGACACATATATGATAGTTGATCTATTTAATGTAACACTTTATTGAATTGAATAAATGAATAAACAATTGTTCAACATTAATACTATATCAAAACGCATGGTTAATAGTATATCCTAACAATCTCCCACTTAGACTTATAACCATGCACCTACAACTCTAACACCCATTCCTTCAACATGTCTATCAAAAGACTTTTGCGGTAAAGCTTTTGTGAAAGGGTCTGCAAGGTTGTTCTCTGATGCAATCTTCGCCACCATCACATCCCCTCTCTGTACTATTGCTCGAATCAAATGGTATTTTCGCTCAATGTGTTTTGCCTTCTTATGACTTCGTGGTTCCTTTGAATTTGAAACCGCTCCACTATTATCACAAAACATTGTAAGTGGCATTTCTATTGCAGGAACGACCGCCAAGTCTTTCAGAAAGTTTCTGAGCCACACTGCCTCCTTAGCTGCTACATATTCGGCTTCCATGGTAGAATCAGCAACACAGGTTTGCTTGATGCTTCTCCAAACAATGGCTCCACCTCCCAAAGTAAACACATTTCCTGAGGTCGACTTTCTAGAGTCCATATCAGACTGGAAATCTGAGTCTATGTACCCTATGGGCACCAACTCATCCGAATGATAGACTAGCATGTAATCCCTAGTCCTTTTCAGGTACTTGATTATATGCTTAACTGCTGTCCAATGTTCTCGTCCAGGATTAGACTGATATCTGCTAACCATGCCTACGACAAAACAAATGTCAGGTCTAGTGCATAACATGGCATACATGAGACTTCCTACCACTGATGCATAAGGAACTGTCTTCATGCTTTCTGTTTCCTCATCCGTCTTAGGACATTGATCCTTAGATAAAGAAATTCCATGTCTAAAAGGAAGAAAACCTTTCTTGGAATCGTGCATGCTAAACCTGGTAAGAATTGTATCAATATAAATAGCTTGAGATAAACCTAACATCCTTTTCTTGCGATCACGTAGAACCTTGATCCCAAGGATGTGAGCAGCTTCTCCCAAATCCTTCATATCAAAGTTTGTGGACAACCATTTCTTAACTGAAGTCATCAAGCCCACATTATTTCCTATGAGCAAGATATCATCTACATATAATAACAGAAACACCACTTTATCCCCATTCCACTTTTTGTACACACAAGACTCATCAAGACATTGCTCAAAACCAAAAGACTTGACTGCAGTGTCGAAGCAAGTGTTCCATGCCCTAGAAGCTTGCTTTAATCCATAAATAGATCTTTTAAGCTTGCACAACATGTGTTCTTTTCCTTTTTCTATGAAACCATCTGGTTGTCGCATAAATATGCTTTCATCAAGACTTCCATTAAGGAAAGCTGTCTTGACATCCATTTGCCAAATCTCATAATCATAATGAGCAGCAATGGATAAGAGAATTCTAATAGACTTAAGCATGACTATTGGCGAAAAAGTTTCCTCATAGTCGATCCCTTCTTTTTGAGTAAACCCTTTTGCAACAAGTCTAGCTTTGTAAGTTTGCACTTGTCCATCTACTCCTCTCTTTTTCTTATATATCCACTTGCATCCAATAGGTTTGACTCCATCTACAGGTGGTTCTACAAGATCCCAGACTTTGTTAGAGTACAAAGACTCCATTTCTGATTTCATAGCAACAATCCATTTTTCTGCATCTTTATCTTGTAGTGCTTCGTCGTAATTCATAGGTTCGGTATTCGACTCTTCAGGCATTCTGTCTAAAGACTCTCCCAAGAGTGCATACCGAAGTGGTTTTCTTATCACTCTCCCACTACGATGAGACACTACAGTTGTAGGGGCAGGTTCAGAGAGATTTGCATTATTATGATCTTGTGGTGGAACCACATCATTTTTAGGATCTTGAGTTTCCATCTTATCTTCAGTATCTTGCGATGCAGAGATATCAACAACTTCTTCCTCTAATGCAATCTGCTCACTATTACTCCCACTACCTTGATGCAATGAATTTTCAAGATCTTGTACTTGCAGAATTTTATGTTTGTTAACATCTCTCCCACTATTATAATGCAATGGTATGTTAACTCTAACATGTGGGGTTTGAATTTGGTTTTCATTATTTTCAGTAGATTGATTTGTTTTCTCTTTGCTCAATTCCTGTAAAACTAGTTTACTTCTAGGAATATGGTTTGTTAAAAAATCCGTTTCTAGAAACTTGGCATTGGTAGACACAATGACCTTCTTTTCTTTAGGATTATAAAACATACCACCTTTCGTTCCTTTAGGGTATCCAATAAAAACACATACTTCTATTTTAGGCTCCAATTTTTCTGCCTTCCCTTTTAATACATGTGCTGGACATCCTCAAACCCGAATATGTCTCAAACTAGGTTTGTGCCCAGTCCACAGTTCAATGGGTGTCAAAGGAACAGATTTAGAAGGAACTAAGTTCAGAATGTAATTTGCAGTTTCTATGGCATATCCCCAAAACAAATGCGGCAAATCAGAGTAACTCATCATTGATCTAACCATTTCTAAAAGAGTTCTACTTCTTCTTTCTGCTACACCATTTTGTTGTGGCGTTCTAGGTGCAGACATTTGAGATGTAATTCCTTGTTCTGATAAGTAACTAATAAAATCATTAGAGAGGTATTCGCCACCACGATCAGATCACAATGACTTGATATATATTCCATGTCGTTTCTCTGTTTCAGCCTTAAACTCTTTGAATTTCTCAAATCATTCAGACTTACGGCGCAACAAATATATATATCCATATTTTGAGTAGTCATCAATGAAGGTCACAAAGTACTCATACCCACCTCTTGCTTGAATGTTCATTGGGCCACACAAATCAGAATGAATTAACTCTAGTTTATCATTGACTCTATTTCCTTTTGAGGGAAAAGGTCTCTTAGTCATTTTTCCTTCTAAACAAGATTCACATGTTGGTAGTGCCTCCACTTTTAATGAACCTAAAGGTCCATCTCGAACCAACATTGAAATCCTATCTAGATTTATATGACATAGACGCAAGGGCCATAGATAAGTCTCATTAAAATCAGAAGAACATTTTCTTTTACTTGAAAGGTTAACATTATTCAATTCTACGATTTGTTGCAGTTCTGGAGAGACATTAATAATAAAAAGACCATCAATCAATGTACCAGCAGAGACAAGATGTTTTTTATAACTTATAACACAACCGTTATCAGAAAAACTAACATTATAACCATCTCTCAAAACTTTAGAAACTGAAATCAAATTTCTTCTAACAGCAGGTGCATATAGAATGTCTTTTAAAATTAAAACTCTACCACTATCAAACGAAAAAGTAATATTTCCTAATGCTAAAACTGGAGCTGCAGAGCCATCTTCTTGAAAAACGCTGACTTCACCTCTAATCAGCTTGCACGTTTCTTGAAACCCCTGCATAGTAGTGCAGATATGATCAGTGGCTCCTGAATCTACACACCATGAAGTGGTAGAAACAGCCGCTAAAAATGTTTCAACGACAAGTGAAATTGAGTTACCTGGTTTGTTTTTCTTCTTGGCTAAGAAATCTGGACAATGTGCCTTCCAATGACCTGATATCTTGCAATGAAAACACTTACCCTTAGACTTTTTCACTCCCCCAGTTGGAGGTGCAGTTGCCTTAGCTTTGTGAGCCTTTTTCTTCTTCTGTCCACCTTGCGGTTTAGAAGTAGAACCTTTCTCAACATTAAGTGCCATTGATAGTGCATGTTTTTTGACAAGGGTCTCTACCGCCTGTAGCTCATTCAACAATTGTGCCAAAGATAGACTCATCTTATCCATATTATAATTTAGGAAAAATTGTTGAAAACTATCAGGCAGAGACTGCAATATCATCTCAACTTGGGAGTCATTGTCAATTTCAGCCCCCAAAACCTCTAGTTCATTCAGAAGACCTATCATCTTCAGAACATGGTCTCTTACAGGAGTGCCTTCAACCATCTTAGTGTTCATGAGAGTTCTCATGGCAGTCTGCTTAGCTGATCGACCCTGGTCTCCAAACATTTGTTTGAGATTCTCCAGAATTTCAAAAGCAGACAACATAGCTTGATGTTGATGTTGCAAAACATTTGACATTGAAGCCATAATGTAACATCGCGCCATCTCATCAGCTTTGCGCCATTTCTGATAAGCTAACTTATCCTCATCACTCGACTGATCATTTGGTTTCAATGGACATTCCTCATGAAGCACAAACTTACATTCTTCAGCAGTTAACACAATGTCAAGATTTCTCCTCCAGTCAACATAGTTAGAACCCTCTAGTTTGTTTTGACCCAAAATAGTACTAATGGGATTAAAAGGAGACATGTTGAATCTGAGATTGAAGAAATAGTTACAATAGATCAATAACATAGTCATATAACATTGAATATTTACATTCAAACTCATGATATACATATACATTCATGCATTTAAATAGCAAATCGTTGGGATTGGAGAACTATTCATACAGTATACATATATAATGACCGATTATTCACTCCATAAACTTATACAGACCTAACTCAGTTGGAGAGTCTACTGTTACTTTAATTCAAGTGAAAATCCTCTAGTTGCATTGATCCAATCATATATTACTCAGTTTAGGAGAGTTAATACAAATTATCAAACTAGCGATTAAATATGTAATGACTTGTATTAAATTCATCCGATGGGGAGGAAGGTCTAAGCCAACACATAAACTTAATACTTCATTACTATTTAATCTTGGTAATTTTTTTATTTTTTAGTTTTAAAAAAATTACTCATCACTATTTTATTTTCTTGGTAAATTTTATGCCAACAAATTTCTAGAAAGAAACTATGCAAACAACAAAAATTTCAGCTTATCATATTTTCAAAACTGTTACAGTAAATCCTTTTTTTTTTAAGTTACTGTTGCAAATTTTTTTTTTCTTTCAAAAGTGGTTTAAACTCTTCCAAGAAACATGGATCATTAATTACATATGAGCCAAAGTAATTTTATAAAAAAATCACAAGTGGTCAAACTTTTTACGAAGAAAAAGATTACACCCAAACACATGTGATTTTTATACAATTCATGGGTTAGAAAAAAAATCAGCAATTCAATTTTAAATTCTTTATTTTTTTTCTTACTATACCAGAAAACAACCAGCCGCCATAAGCCGCCATAATACGAGAAAAAATTTGCACAAAAGTGCCGCCACAATTTAAAAAATAATGACAGGTACAACTATCAAATTTCTTTTAAAATTATCCATCCAAGGAACACCGTGCATCACCATATGAGAATATTATCAAAACTTACATATCAATTTTCATAAGTAACTATTACCGTATGCATTTAACAAAAACAAATCAAATCAAGTTTTTTATCCGTTCTGTCCTTTTCGAGATAAAACAAAATTCACAATCACGAATCATACATATAATTTCACATATGCATATTTTAGGTTATGTATAAAGATGCAAGTATGACTCTTGATGCCAATTGTTAGAAAATAACATACACAGCGGAAGCATTCCAGAATCATACATCTTGCATGAATATAAATAACAATCACAAATAGTTATCACATACAAAGTATGCTGAAAATTAACTCAGGATTACCTCTTGAAGCGTGTGCACATATCTTGAAGTAAATCCAACTCCAGTTCTATAGTCTTCTACAGTGATCCCAATTAACAATTGAACTCTCTCAATACTTGGGCGGGCAAGTATTGTATAGAATACTCTTTTTTGAATCTAGGCTAGAAAAATCCCTATTTATAGAGATGTCTTCCTAGTCCAAAGAGGAGAAGAAAAACCAATTCTTTTTCTTCAAGAAGAACTTCAAACACACGTTTTCTTTCAAAGAAAAAGAACACTACTTTTCCATCTTCTACTAGAATAGGATTCTGAGTTCTAGTTAAATTGAGCACTGGAGGGACCACAACATTTATTTCTGAGGCTTCCTATTATGGAAATAATTCTAAATAATTAATTTGAATTATTCTTACCATAATAAATTACAAATCATTCCACTAAAAATTCGTAATTGAACTCCTCTATTATTTCGAAATTCACCACTAAACACTTATTTGATTCCCCATGTTAAGATTACCGATACTAATCAATAAATTAAATTACTGACGAATTTAATTCAATGATTAACTTCTTTTAGAGCAATACTTAAATTATTTCATGTGCCAGATTCATAAATCTACCGGCCGAGTTTACACATGAAAACTTACAAGCTTCTCATAAAAGGTGTATCATCAATCTCTATACTGAGACATGAATTCCATCAACTAACTAATTATTTCACCAATATATATTATTATCATCCAATCTACCAGGCATATTGACCCATCTCAGAATCTTACCTTTTAATAAACCAAAATGATAATTAATATATACAGAGCATAATCGTTATATCAAGATTAAGAATATAAGTACATTTAATAGTTTAGAGAATATGTTTGAGAATATGTTTTTATCAGTCAGTCTAAAACAACTATCTCTGCTTGGTCGCGTTCAATACATACCAAATGCACTAGCACGAGAAGTTAGAACTATGCCATTCTCATAATCAAGATAAATTACATTTAATCTCGTGCTACAATCTTTCTGATGATTTTGTCCAAATTTCCATCTATGAATGTGAACTATAAATTTTAACTTATAAGAACTGATGATTTAATCTTCTGTGTATAAGCTTAAACTCTATACACCAAATCATCTACTATATAAGTTAAGGACACATATATAATAGTTGATCTATTTAATGTAACACTTTATTGAATTGAATAAATGAATAAAAAATTGTTCAATATTAATACTATATCAAAACGCATGGTTAATAGTATATCGTAACAACAAATATCATAGTCACCAATCACAGCAGGCACACTTTCGAGTGGAACATCATCAACCTGAACAAATGGATAGCCTTGCAAATATTCTCTTGTATAATTGTGAGAATCAGGAAAATGAGGCCCACAAAAAAGAACACGGGTAACATGACTGCACCTATTATCACTCATCTTCTGAGATGAGTTTGCACCAGCTTGAGCTAAGGAACAAAACCAATGGCGTTGATGTTGGCGGTGAAGAAAAGTTTTCTCCACAACGTTGCAAGTGATGAGCGTTTTTGCGTTAGAAATCCAAGTTTTGCAATGAGTTAAAATTGATTTTTTGTGACTTCTATGCCAATTAGAGGTTTGTATACTGTGTTATTCTTGTTAATTTGAATTGGGTTTTCATTATTTCTTAATGGTATAAATTTTAGTATTGGATTTCCGTTATTCCTTCTTGTGACTGCTTCTCTAGCTATGTCTATAAGAAATTTATCAATATTGTGTTGGAAGGCTGTCTGCTTCTGAATATATGTAGTGTATGCAAGTGACTATTTTGTGAAACTCATATTTCACAGCAAGCCGAAGAAAACCTAAGGTTATGCATTTTTGTTTCTCAAATGTCATGTGATTTGCAACAACAAATGCAACTGGCTAAACCACCAGTTGTTATAATGTCATATTTTCAAGTGAATAACAATAGCAACAACTTAGCATAGGAAAGCATATGCGATTTACCAAAAGTGAAAGAGTCATATCCCCAAACGAATGCTATTATTAGCAACTACTACTATTGGTCAATTGCTGTTTTTTCACATGCTAAAACATTCTAATTTTGTACTTAAAAAAATAGACAGTGAAGTGATTGATCAACTGTATTTTGGTAGATGTGCAGAATCATTAGAAATAGTTTCAAGAATTTCTATTTTAGAGCAGCAATTCTTTTGTATGGTTGTGTTCCTAGTTCAAACATGTTCTGAAATTGGCTCTTTTTTTGCATTACTACATTAGGCTCTTATATTGATTTTGTGTTTATTTTTTTATAGGCTTTAATACTTTTTATGGATCATAATATTGAAGCATCCGTTGAAGAGGTTCAAGAGAGTGCAACAAGTTAATCAAAACAAAGAAAACAAAGATGTGAAACATGAATTTTTTTGAGAAGTTACCACGGGATATGAATGAAGATAACATATTATGAGCAAAATGTAAAACATGTCGACTTGTGTTGCTGGCTGACTCGACTTCAGGAACTTCAAATTTAAATCGACATCACTTGATACACCAAAAAAAGGCAAACAGTCAAGGTACGCCAGTAGATCATGAACAATATCGTGAAAAGATAGCTAGGGCTATAGTTAGACATAATTATCCTTTTAACTTTGTGGAGCATGAAGGAATTAGGGATATTCATGTCTTCTTGAATCCTGCTGTGAAAACTCTTTCAAGAAATACCGCAAGAGCTGACGTGTGTAAGCTGTACGAGAGTCATAAAAAAAATAAAGGATGAACTTGCAAGTATTTCTAGTAAAATATGTTTGACAACTGACTTATGGACTTCAATCACCTCTGATGGTTATATGGTGTAACGACTCATTATGTTGATACAAATTGGATTTTGCAAAAGAGAATTTTGGTATTTCGTCATTGTTCTTCCTTCTCAAAGTGGTTCTGTTTTAGGTCCAAAATTGATCAATATGCTTACAGAATTGGGAATTGAGAAGAAAATATTTTTGATAACTCTAGATGATGCATGTTATAATGAAGACATTGTAGAGAGGTTGATCGATCATTTTACGTTGATGGATTCTCTTCTTTCTGATGGAAAGTATGCGCATATTCGATGTTCAAATCATATTTTAAATTGGTTGTTAAGGCAGGTTGGAAGACAATTGAAACTTCGTTATGTAACATTAGGAAAAGCATCAGATATCTTAAAGGTTCAAAGGCAAGAAAAATAAAATTTGTAGAGTGTATTAAGAACCCCAGCTTGAAGTTGAATGGGAAGGTACGTCAAGATGTATTGACGAGATGGAATTCCACATTCTTGATGCTTAATAGTTCTATTCCCAATCGTCGTGCATTTTCTGATTTAAGGTACTTGATGCTGACTTTAGATGTTGTCCTTCAAAAGTTGACTGGGTTAAAGCTAACGATTTCTAAGTTTTTGAAGCCTTTCTATGAAGTCATTACTTTGTTTTCACGAAATTACTATCCTACTGCCAATATATATTTTCATAAAATTTGGAAAATTCATATGATAATAATTGAAGAGAAACAAAGTGAGGATCCTAATATCAAGGAAATGACAATTGAAATGGAAGTTAAGTTTAAAAAATATTGGCAAGAAGACTATAGTCCGATTGCTTCAATGGCGGTAGTCCTTGACCCTCGATACAAGTTAAAACTTGTAAAATTTTGCTTCACCAAACTTGATCCACTCACTTGTATTGAAAAAGTCAAAGATGTTGAGGATAATATGCATGCATTATTCAAAGAGTACTTGAAAATTTCAATTATTGATGTTGATATGATGGAAAGTAGTAGTAGTAGAGGTGATGTTGAAATGATGGATGATATGGAGGAGTATGATATTTTTGAAAGCCAATCAGAACAAGGTTCAGAAAAGACACAACCAAATTTATACTTAGAAGAGCTCGTGTTGGTTCACAAAGGAAATGAAGATTTGGATGTACTTAAATTTTGGAGAGATAATAGAATTGAATATCCGAAACTTTCATTGATGCCGCGTGATTTGCTAAGTATTCCTATCACCACTGTTGCATATGAGTATGCATTTAGCATTGGGGTCGTGTTATTGGTAGATATCAAAGTTCAATATTACCTAAGAATGCAGAAGCAAAGTTGTGTTCACGAGATTGAATTAATGGTCATCATAAAAAATCTTATCAACTGTTTAATGAAACACTTTCTGTGTTTTGATAATTTGTCTCTCACATATATATTTGTAGCATCTATTGACTCTGAAGAGGAAGATGACATTGCCATAGACGTGGAGAAAATTGCGACTAAATATTTAAATAGTTTGGTGATATGTGCATCCTACAAGTATATGCTTAATTTATTCCTTCTTGTGACTGCTTCTCTAGCTATGTCTGAGAAATTTATCATATTTGTGTTAGATGGTTGGCTGCTTCTGTTTGTATGTAGCGTTTGCAGTATTCATTTTATTTATGTATGGAGTGTGTCTATAGTGTATGCAGGTGGCTATTTTGTGTATATATCCATGTGACATGCCTAATGTCCTATTCCACTATCCATTTATCCTCTTTGATTTTTGAGATCTTTGTCAACAATATCTCATTCTGATGAAGTACTTGAGAGTTTTTGTTTTGTAATTCAAAGTATGTTGTCTGCAACTCACCATGCTTGACACAGGCAGTCTGTATCTCCACCTCAAGTATGGCATTTAGTTGAGTACTACTGCTCATTTCTGACTGTAATTTCTTTGGCATCTCTAGTAGGCAATAATTTTCTTTCTGCACTTTAACCAGCTTCTCAATCAATAAATGTTGCTTATCATACTCGTACATTCTGAGTGCACGTTTCAGATCATCAACACTGCCCAAAATGTAATGCATGAACAAGAATAGATTTTTCTCCATTGAGAATTTGTAACTTGTGATTTTCAATTAATGGAAAGAAAGGTTGAGCTCTCTAGCTTCTGTCTGTGAATAACTTTTAAGCTCTTTCTCTATAAGAGTTGAACTGATTCATGACTTTGGAGTTTTGATTCTTGATGATCTAACTTCAGGACTTTTCAGTACTTCAGCATTGCAAATCATTTACATGCTTAAAACCATGGTTGTTACTCGTGATCGAACGATAATTCAAGTACAACAGAAGCATTATCAATATTCTTACAAAAAAGGGAAATGTTAATGAAAGAAACATCTTGTATGAGTTATAGAGTTCATTTTTTGTCATAGTCAACAGAAGCATTACATATCACTTTTTAAGTACCCTTTTGAAAGATTCTTGATTGTGATGCATCATTATGTTACATTAATTGTGCATTTTGATATTAATGTGCCGCACACTGTGTGCGACTGTGCGTTGTGTGGCATTGATATGTTAGTTTCCTCAATGTATGTATGGTTCATGAGCTACTTTTGGTTGTTATAGATTCTGTTGTCACTGGTTCAACTGAAAAGGAGTGTGTTGATATATTGCCAAGAATTGATAATTTTGACACATTGAAAATGAGTGTGCTGGATCAAAGGATTGTTATTGACTATTTAGTGAGTTCAGCTGTGTTCTTCACTGTGTCCAGCTATTGCCATGGTGAAATTGTTCCAGTTGCATAATTTGATATATTTTATTTGGAAGTTTTATAATTGTCACATATACAAACAAATGTAGTATTGTTCTGTGGTTTCCACTTAATATCCATCCTATTATATTGCTCCTTATATCGTGTTACATTGCTTTTTAATATCGTGTTGTATTATTTTTTTAATATCGTGTTGTATTTGTACTTTCTACTTAGTATTGTGTTGTATTATTAAGCGGGTCATATTGGGCAGGTCATAACCCAACCTGTATTTTAGCCTAAAGTAAATTTGGGTGGGTTATAACCCAACCCGCTTTTTAATGCAGCCCATTTTAACATTTGCAATTTCAGCTCAATCAACCCATTTGACACCCCTACTTGAAGCCTCTATTAATTGAGATGGATGTTGAAAAAAAGACACATGACATCCTAATATAGCTAGAATGATAAAGCAAATAAAAAGAGTCCTCAAGAAGCAAGGAGACTCACCAACAACTCTGAAACTCAACTGGATCAACGAAGCGTTGGATGTTAATCCCGATTTCTTATATATGTATCATAAAAGATGTAGGAAAACTGATGTTAGTACACGAAATGTACAAGCATGTAAGGGGAATTCTAAAACAGACATAAGCTTGAAATGGAACTGAAGAAAACTTACTTCGTCTCAACTCAGTTCAATATAAGCTAGTGCTAGAAATGCAATACAAAGAAATGCTTTAAAACATGTAGATAACAACTCAATGTATTGAAAAACACAACAATAACTTAGTTTATATATGAAAAAACAAGTAACTTTGTGTGATATTCTCTAATCGACAACCATCACTCTGAGCTACGTGATGATACATTGTCTTACCTCACGTTGCCAGGTCTGTTCTATACTTTCTCGGGGTATAGAACCTCTACTAAGTGGATCCACTAGTCTATGCTAAAAAGCACTAAAGAATCATCTAAAAAGTATGACCGTTTTTATCAATGTTGGCTACATGGTTTATGAAGACTTTGAGTTATTTGAACTCGTCCCCATATCAGTGCTCAATACTACTCCCAAAATTTAACTAGCTCAAATATTTAAAAACATAACTCTTTCTGTGGTTTGAGATTATTACTTAAATATATCTCTTAAAAGAGATGATATTCAAAAACTAGTTCAAAAGCTCTTTTGGAAATTAGTGTTTCCTCTCTTATTTAAATGTCAAAACATTTACTCTTGGAAATACTTAGTTCCATATATCCTGCAATGAACGTAGTTTTACTCTTTCTCAAACTCAATGCTCAAGTCTTAAAATAAGTAAACAACTGTAAAAGACTCAAAAAACTCTCTAGGTTTGACTCTTAACTCTACCTTCATGTTATGGATAATCATGTGATGTTTAGACGTACCTTAGAGTGTAGAAAATAACTAAAAAACATAGGTACAATTCAAGAGAACTCAAACGAAAAGAAGAGGGTAGAGAATCTGGGGACCATGTGTACTGAGTGGCGCATGATGCCTGACCTTGAACTGCAGAGCCTAGGTTGGGGCACACTGAGTGGCACGGAGCCCCAGTGCCCATCATACAGACCTTGATGTGGGACGCACTGAGTACCGCGGTGCCCCACCCCTTTCCCCAAAAAATTGGACAAATTTTCTTACTTGTTTTTCAATCCTTATTCGTCTAGAATCGAACGATTTCTTCCTCAATAACTTAGATCCAAATACCCAATCATACTGTACAATAATCTAATAAAAACACCTTAAAGTTCATGCGGTTATCTCAAGAATTCATCAAAACCTCAACAATCAATATTATGAAGGAAACTTCAATGAAACACATCAAGAGCTCAAATCTTTTACTTTCATGAACGAAATTACATGGAATAAATTATAATTGGCGCGTAGATGTATGAACCCAATGTTATGTGAACTCGAATTCCTCTTAGGGATCAATCCGTTAGCGAAATCTGCAACAAAAACCTCAAGAATTCAACGAATGCTTAACTTTTTCTCCTCTTCTTGAACTTTTCTCAAAACCCTAGAGTAAATTTGGATTTTTAAAATTGAACCAATTCAGTTTAGACCCCTAGATATTACCAAATTTCGTTTTAAGTTGATTGGATAAGGAAAAGATCAAAATATCCCTCTTAAATTCGGATAACTTTCCTTAATTGACATGCAAATTTTCAATTGATCATATATCCCTCATACAAGGTTGAAAATTAACAAAATCGGTGACCTTGGGAAGATAATTTCAAGACCTTTATTTGATATCCGACAGCCACCTAACTCATACTGTACCTTTGATAATTTCAAGACCTTTATTTGATATCCGACGGCCACCTAACTCATACTGTACCGAAAGTTATGGTCGTTTGAGGTTGACCTTTACTCATAACTTAGGCTTAACTTGCAAAATTTCAGATTTTGATCTTTTCAAATTAGTTCTTTCTATTTTAGATATTTCTAAAGTGGGACGTTACAGCCCCCCCCCCCCCACCCAACAACCCCACCACTATCCCAAAAAAAAAATTTAAAATTATTTCAATAAATAAGATCTTTAAATTTGTAAAAGTATTTTTTATCACCACCCTTCTTAAAAATACTAATTGTTTTTCAAGGAAATTTTTAGATTTTTCCCTTCCCTCAGCCCCTTACCGTGACTATCTACACACAAAAAAAAAATTAAAAAAATAATGCTTGTCCTTTTGTGAGTAAAACTCTTTTATTATTTAACTATCTACTTTTAAATAAATAATATGAATTTTATTCATTTTAAATGAGTTGAATATCCTACCTATTTAAAATGGATAAATTTGAATAAATACCCATATTACCTATTCTACCGCCATTATGTAGTAGCTATCAATTGTTTGATTTGATTGTGATCCTAATCGATTATTTAAATCAAAATGTTTACTTAAATTATGCACGTAGTTTTTTAAAAAATTGAATCACAAAAATTTATTGCAGAATTTGTTCTTTTAATCATATCACGAGTGTTTGTTGGAGGAGGGAGAGGGGAGAGAGACTATTTATCACCAATTTTTTTCTCTACAAATCACTCCTTTCCAACTAGTCATTTGTACACTTAGTTACATGCGCACATATTTTTTAAACTCTATTTTTAAATTTTCCGTAATAAATTGCACTAGGGCTGGGTTCCTTCATCTTGAAGGTGTTAAGGTGCTTTTGTTTGAATTAATTTTATGAATCAATTTTGATCAATGTACCATAATCTCCATATTTGGTAATTAATATATTATTTAAGAATATCCTTTAAAAGTATTAATTGATCAAAGAGTGGATCAGACTTCAAATTTTAGTAGAGACAAAAATGTTAGATGACTTCTTCTCTTCTGACTGAACTAGGACAAAGTTATTTAATACTTCATTCGTTCGCTTTTACTTGTCACATTTAGTTTTGTCATGATCCAAAACGAGTCGTGAGTGACACCACACTTAACCTCCTAAATGGGCGAACCAACCAATTTAACCTAACTTACAAAATACAAGCATAACGTGGAAACTCAAAATCTTACTTAATATCATTTCCCAAAACCTCAAAGTCATCACATCAACGACATGTATTCTCAACTTACTAAGTCTAACAGTATTTAAGAAATCAAAATAAGTAAAAAAACTGTTCATGTCCGAAATTTCAAGGACATCAAGACGTGAATGAGAGAATCCAACACGAGCTAGAAATAATAGCTCACCCTGAACTCTGATGTGCTGGAGACTGGCTAGCGCTGAGAGCAATTTGAAGTCATTGATACACTCACTGCATTTCATAAAAGGAAAACAAAGAAAAACACAAGTAGGGCTCAGCGCGGGGCAACATGTACTGAGTAGGTATCATTGACCAACCCAAAATAGAAACTAATATTCAATGAATAATAGTATGAACTCAACTACAACACTTAACAGGTGAAAATCAAATAAAAAACAACATGAACAAGTGTCAACAACATTAAAGTAAGTACATAATAAGTCAACGATATCAAGATCACGCATGAGGACTCATGCCTCCAAACCAAACCATTTTGGGAGTTGAGTTCTTTGATATTGAGTACTATCCATTAATTCAACAGGTTTTTTCTTTAATATTACCGTGTCAAAACCTGACACTCCAACTCAAGAATACCGTGTCGAAACGTGATACTCCATTCCAAGAATACCTTGTCAAAACATGACACTCCGATCCAAAAATACTGTGTCGGAATGTGACACTACGATCCAAAAATACAGTGTCAAAATGTGACACTCCGATCCAATAATATCATTAATTTATCATTTAATATCACCACTTTTCCATTCGTTAATAATATTTTATCAAGCCTTCTTTATTCAAGGCATCACTTTGATAGAGAGGGTTCAAGATTATAAATTTCATGGTCTCAGGATTTTAGACCAATCACAAAACACACAACCAAGCCACACAATCACACAATCAAGTACATGGAAAACTACACAATATCATTTAATGCATATCAATCACTATCAAAAGTTTACTATCAAATAACATAAACCATAACTTACCTCCATCGAAGAATCGAAATCAAGCAAGCTACTTGTTGTGTGGAATTTGATATAATACGAGAAAATATAAACGCGAATAAGACAACAGATTTACGTGGTTCACCAATAAATTGGCTACGTCCACGGGAAGAGGGGGAGCAGTTTTATTATGGAGAGGCAAGAACAGAATTACAGAATAGGGTTTGTCATAACGTCTATATATAGTGCTAAAGCTACGCCCTAACAGGCTTGGGCCCAAAATACAGAATTGACAGATAATTAAGGGCCCAATACAACAACATTGTATACGGGTCCGATTCAAGGCATTCAACAAATCTCCACCTTGACTTGAATTCTCCAAACAGATTCTTCAAACGAACTATGATAGTGCCAGGCCTCCCCCTCTTCCTCAGAATTGCCCCGCAGGGCAATTAACAGCTTCTGATGTTGAGCAAGTTCAAACAGTGTTGAAACTTGCTCTGTGGAACTGGCTTTGTGAACATATCAGCAGGATTATCAGCAGTTCCTACTTTCTTCACCTTGATTCTCTTCTCACTTCTCAGAAAATGATACCTCACGTCAATATGCTTGGTTCTCTCATGATGGACTTGATCCTTGGCTAGACAAATTGCGCTCAAACTGTCACAATACACCGTAGCCTGATCATGATGCAGACCAAGATCACTAACCAGCCCTTTCAGCCAAATCCCTTCTTTTGCAGCCTCTGTCAAGGCCATGTACTCCGCTTCCGTAGTAGACAAAGTCACTGTAGGTTGCAAAGTTGCCTTCCAACTGACGACAGATCCTCCAAGGGTAAACACATAGCCAATCATCGATCTTCTTGTGTCAACATCTCCAGCATAGTCAGAATCAGAATAGCCAGTAACTAAGCATTGAGTATCACCTCCATAAATGAGACCAACGTCAGATGTACCTCTAAGGTACCGGAAAATTCTCTTCACAGCCTGCCAATGTTCTCTCCCTGGTTGTCCCATGAATCTGCTCACTGCACTGACTGCATGTGCTAAATCTGGCCTTGTACAAACCATAGCATAGATCAAACTTCCTACGGCACTGGCATAAGGGACTCGTGACATATACTCCTTTTCTTCTTCTGACTGTGGAGCGAACATGGCAG